ATGAGAGAAATAGAAGAATTTTGGAACTATCCCAATAAATTAAGGATATCTTGTGCAAAATATGATAAGTCATTTCATTAAGGGTATTATAGACATTTTACCAAAAATGAATAGTAGCAGGCCATTTATAAAAATCTCCCGTTTTTAACCCACTTACTTTTACCAAATAATAACATCAAAGATTGCACGAAACAAGTGATTACCAAGAGGGAGAACAAGTACGACTAATCTTATTATTATTTTTGCCATTTTTCTTCGCAAAGGCACGTTTTGCTCAACCTATTCAATCATTTATCAAACATATCAAATAAGAGTTGTGCTACATGGGTAGGGCCACGCAGACCATGTCCGTTTAAAAAAATTCATCAAATAACTACATGCTTATTATTTGATCAAGGTTGATATTATTGCTTATCATTTTGTTGAGTCTACCGAGCATCGGCACATACAGCAAAATCTGAATCTAAAGACCCAATAACATCCAAATTATCATATTTCTTATCAATGAGTATCTTTTGTTTTTTGCAAATATCTCAAAACTTTCTTTACATCTTTCTAATGATCAAGACCCGAATTATTTTTATACATGTAGAGCATTTGACAACAAAATTGATGATGGACATGGCGCAAGTCTAAACATACATTAAGCTCACAACAATAAATGCATAAGGAATAGCTTCCATTTAATTGCATTCCAGTTCATTATTTGGATATTGCATGAAACAAATCCTATGATATGAACTCATTTTTTCTAAATTGATTTTTACTCACATATTTTTCTAATAAAATAATTTTGCAAGCGAATTTATAATTTTTCTTACATTTTAACTATACATTCTTTAAAAAGTTACTTTTCACAAAATATATTTTCAAAAATCTCTACTGCTAAATTTATCTTCTTTTTAATTGGAATGACACTTGCGTCCTATTTGGTAGGAGTTGAAATCTTCAAATCAAAGTTAACAATTAATTTTAACTACATATTTCATGGTACTCACAACTTTTCAATTATATATTTTATTAATTTTTATTAAAATCTACTAAAAACTTAATTTTAATCCTAACAAATACGACATATAATTTCCCATCTTTGTGGATATAATTTTGTGTGCCAACAAAAAAAATAAAAAATAATAATAAAATAGTACAGTTGAATACTGTGGAAATTACATAATTCCAGGTCCTTAAAGAGTACAATTCAAAAATCAGGTATCACGTTTGATTATCCACAAATCAGGTTTAATATAATATCTCCACCTAATTCAAGTCCAGAACCTATTCATTTTGTAACGCCCCAAATTTTTATAAACACTGGAGCGTTACGAAAAGCTCTTTTTTTTTCCTTTTAATAGATGCGGAACGAAACAATTAAAATAAATTCTTTATTTTCAATCAAACATAAATTAGAACACGAGATATAAGTGGGTCTTTTAAACAATTAAAATTAAAAACATAACAGCAAACTATTTTTTTATTTCCTTTATTCGATTCACTTGACAGTTCGCATCACCAATTCGCCACAGTCCAATTAACCAGAACTAATCTGTAAAAATTTGTAAGAATGGGTATTCGAAAACACCCAGTAAAATACGTGCAGTTTTCATATACAAATATATAACAATAAAATTATACATTTTCATACCACTCTGATCTTATGGAGTATATTGATTTTGTAAAAAACGAATGTCTATTGGAATATAAAAGTACAAGGAAACAAAAGCATTTGCACATAAAGTATCTTACATCGTTTTTGGAAATATATAAATTTGAATGCACGTCTCTTTTTCTTTCTACGTCACTTTGCTACCGCACTCAATTGGTGCACACTATTTGATTTCACAAGTATTTCCAAATACGAATTGGCATGAAAGGGGCTGTTTTGGTTTCTGATAAAAATTGCTTTCTGATTGAAATAATGTATACTTTCAACCTGACTTTGCAAGGGAGGGCAGATTTCCTATGAAGGTTAAATTGCAAGAATACTTGCATGCAGATTGGGGTTTATCAAGAATATGTGATAAGCCAAGATCTTTGAGTATAATTACATTAGAACTATGTTTAGACAAGTCTTAGTCATTTATCAAAATAGGAAACGTGGGATAATGATAAATGATTGGGTTTTGAATTGTTTTTAAATTAATTATTTCTAGCCAAGAGTAAGGTAATCATCACAATTACAGCAAAATGATTGGGATGGCTGTGTACCATAAGCAAAGTGATATGATTTGTTTTGTACTATTCCAATTCACTACAGCATATATTTTGGGATTTTCTACTATTCTTATTCAATTTGGTGCACACAATTGGCCTTTTATCCTAATTGAAAAAAATGCAAAAGATTTCCAGCCGTGTCAAAACATCCCTATCTATTCCGAAAATCAAGTTAAATAAATAATATTAAAATAGGGCTACTTGACAATTCTTATCAATTCCCAAAATCAAAGCAATAAATCATATAAAGGAACCTTATCTACCACATACCCTACCCATGTCACGTTATCAATTATCCTACGACTCAAAAGTAAGGACAACACTTCCAAAAAAAAAAAAAA